TTTTTTTTTTTTTTTTTTTTTGAAATGAATACTTTTATTACGATTAATGCAATAAGCAATAATTTTCCGTTCAATTATATATATTTTGTAAGTTTTCATTCTGTTAGTTTGCGCAGTTTAAGTAATTTTTTTACTTGAGATCAAACTCCCATTCTCCCTCAAAAACAATTGTTCTTTCGCCACACGTTTTTACCTTCTTATCAAAAACTTTTATTTGAAACTCCACTTGGTTGTTCTTTAACAGGTTTTAAGTGAACGTTACTATTTTTGGTGTTTTTTACATTATTATTTCGAGATACTATATTAGTTTAATTTAATGCTTAGGTGTTATGAGAATTTGCTTTTCTCTGAGGTTTTGAGAATTGCAGGAATGGAGGAGGAACTCAATAAATTACTGAAGGATGTTGGAGCTACTGTGTAAGTGCTGCCTCTGATCTTAATGAAATAAGAGTCTTTGATTACTGATGCCTCATATAATACTTTTTCTTTCTCATGTAATAGAATTTTTTTTTTTTTGATTTCTTCGAATTATGTGAGAACTTGAACTCATTTTTTAAATGTTAGTAACCCGCTTGCAGACGTACAAACTCAGCTCCATCAGGAACTTTGCGTAACGAGGATTTTCGGCAGCTTCTCAATCGCAAGCCTGCTCCTTCGACTAGCAACTCAAACTCTCAACCACAAACCTCACATTCGTTCAGCCACCGTCAGGCAGCTGAGTTAATTGCTTTAATATTGTTTTTGATCAATTCCATAACTTGAACGCCGACGCATCTCGAGTTTTTTGAAGGGATCAGACAGTTTTTTAATTTAGGACAAAGAAAGGGCCTGGCGGAAGCCATAAAAACAAAAAGCAGAAAGAAAAAGCAGTCGTGGATGACGATGATGACGACCTTGGTAGAGCAACTCGTTATTTACAGCAACGCTGTAGCAACTAACGTTACGTATTTGCCTTCCTTTTCTTACATTTTTGCCTTTTAGGTAAGTCAAATCTGAATGAAATTTTGAAAAACTACCGTGACCGTGCTGAAGAAAGACGAAAGGGTATTGGAAACGATGAAAGTATTGACGCGATACAAGCAGGTAACGCTTACCGTGCTGTTCCTGGGGATGTTCGAGCTACAGCTGATGCAGCGCAGAGGCGAAAACAGGCGATTCAGGTAGGTAAATTTCTACGGGCTTTTATTAGGAAGTAAGGTCTATTATTTTGTAAGAAGCTTCTTGAGTGAGGATCATTATAATTTACAGGAAAGTAAATATCTCGGTGGTGATATGGAACATACCCATTTAGTTAAAGGGTTAGATTATTCTTTACTTCACAAAGTACGTTCGGAAATTGCTGCTCGCGAACAAAAGGGAGACAATGAACTTGAGGCACAACTGAATGTAAGTTAAGTTAGACGTTAGAACAAGTTTTAGAAATCAGAAACGAGTTTTTAGGATCTTGCTCTTCCGTTCTTTTTTTTTTTTGATTTGTAGAAAGATTCCGGCTTTGAAGAATCCACGTCAGAGAATAGGGTGGTGAGAAATATTCATCGGGTTTTATTTCAAAACGAGTTGCCTTTGAGGAATGAACTGTTTCGGTAGATTTTATTTCTTTTTGTCTAAAATGAGTTTTTTTTTTTGATATTTTTCATTTATGTATTCTTTAGAAAAGGAAGGATGACTTACGTTGTTGAACTTGAGGAAGAAGAAAACGAAGTGCCAACAACCCGTCTGCGTTCTCTTCATGACTGCCCTCCTTCAGAGAGCACTCACGATATAAGTACCAGTAACATGCTTATTCAGGTTAGTGATTTTAAATTTGTACGTAGGAATGTATTTCTAAAAAGACTGTGTCTTTAATTTCTTGATTATGATTTAGAAGTTAACTCAAGTTTTGTCGTATTTACGTGCAGACACTCAGAAGAAAAAGAAAAAAGTGGAAATGAGCACAGAAGATCGAGTTAAGCATGCGTCCCAACCTATTTTTGATGACGATCGTGACTTTAAACGTTCCTCAGATAGGGATCGTTATAATGATAAGGACCGCCGGAGATCTAAGCCATCATCGTAAAATCTTATTGGTTTTTTTTCGTCGGATTTTCACATTCTCAAATCCGTTTGCGCTCTCGTCCATTAAGGGCTCATCCCACAAAGTTCACGTCTTACGTGTTTTTAAAGGTACTTCGACGATAATCGTGACAACGAGAAAGAGCGAAATAGAGATCGAGGCAGGGAGCGAGACAGGTATCATGATTATGAACGTGGGAGAGGGGATAAAGATCGTGAACGAAGAGACAGAGACGATGACAGACGAGTTGAAAGGGATAAGAGACGTGATGAAGCAATGAGGTCGCTTGAGAACGCAGCACCTGCAGTCCCCAAGAAGAAGATGATGACAGAAACAGAAGGTTACGCCGAATGTTATCCAGGAGGACCAGAAATGTATGAGGCTGCAGGAGAGAGTGATGATGACGCGGATTATTCAAAAATGGACATGGTTTGTTATTTTTGGTTTTAGGACGGTAGATGAAGTTAAAAATCTGATGAAATGATCTATTCTTGTTCTGCTACATTCTTTGTCATTTTAACTAACTGATAATCAAGGGCAATCGAAGAGGCCCTATTAAACGGTGGGATTTCGAAGATCATGAAGATTATGAAAAGTATATGGAGTCTAAAGAAGCCATGCCAAAGTAAAGTTTTGCTTTCTGTAATTCGTTTCATTTAGGTATAAATAATTGCAAATCATTTTTAGTTTTTTTCATTCGAACATCTATACAGCAGGTAACCTGGCGAACTCCTTCTTTTTATAAGTTTGGAAAAGACATTCAGGAGCTAGTTAGAAGCATGGATATTTTAGGGCTGCTTACCAGTTTGGAGTGAAAACAAATGATGGGAGGAAAACGAGGAAAAGTGGACCGGACAAGGAGAAGCATAAGTTAGATAGAGAGTTCTCACAAATCACCAAGATAATAGAAAAACGGAAGCAAGATGGAGGACACAGAACGTAAGCATATTTTGACATTAAGATTTCTACTGTTTAGTATTTATTGCGTGTAGGCTCTTGTTCTCTATTCGTTTATGTTAGGAAGCATTAGGAAAAACCCTGGGCTTTATTTTCAGAGAGGTAGCGAAGCGTATTCGGTATTAGCGGCCAGAACGTTCATTCCTAGTGAGTGTTCCACGCATGGAATATTTCTCAACTTTTGTTTCCCGCTCTTCCGCCACTTTTTATGCACTCCTCTTTGTAATTACGTGTGCTTTTCTACAACCGTCAGTTTCGTGCCCATTACTGATGGCATAAACTTGTCCTATTGTGCTATGGAAGACAGCAGAGTTCAATAACTTTTAAGGCACAGACGCCTGCGGGGGTCGTTACTTGATTTTGAAGTAGCCAGAAAGAGCAAATACAATGTCCAAATCATGAAGCTGATGGTTTTGCTTCACTGCGGCGAGCATCACCGGTGCTGTCAGGACGTACGGCTCCACCTCGGCTTTTGATGATCGTCATCGCTAAATCTAAATTTTGCAGAAATCTTAGGATGTTTCTAAGGCATATGAGCCTTTTCATAATGCAATATTAAGCCAATCCAAACCTAAATTGTGGCTTACAAGGGGACGAAATTTTTATTACTGACTTCATTGTGGAACAATTTACAGAAAGAAATTCAGTTTTCAAATGCACCCGAACAGGACAAAATTTGCAAACATATAAACTTTAAACAAAGTTAAAAGTTTTATTATAAAACATAATTTACACTAAGCACGAACCGGCTACTTCACAAGTAGTCAATAATCAACCGCCCGAAAATGCTTCCAACGTCCATCAAGGGACAGGACAATACCCGTAGATAATGAGGCAGTTACAAAACAAGCCTCGACTTCGAAAAAAAAGCAGCAAGCGACCATCGACTGCATTTTTTAATACAAAGCACAAATAAACGGAAATGTGAGAAACGGCATTTTATAGCAAAAACGTAACAACAAATAAAGCCCTTGATAATGCGAATATGACCGAAATAAAGAAATTTAGACTATACAAAATGGAAAAGTTCAGTTTACTATATTTCAACAAATTCAACAAAATGTTATCATAACAAAACTTTATCTCCGATACTGCAGAGGTTTTGCTACAAGTTTAAATATATGGCTAAATAGGAGCAAGAGCGAAATTGAATAATTTATTATATAAAGGAAAAGACTGTAAACACGAGACACCGACCAAAAAAATACGTGTAGAGAAAATCATAGTTCTTTAAGTGGTTGAGATGAGAAATACTAGGAAATGAACTCTCATATATAAAACGGTAATACGTGACGCCAAAACGAGTTCTACAATGACAGCTAATATTTCAGTAGATCAAAATTTGCAAAACATTAACAAACCAGGATAAAAAGCTAGGACGAGTACTTGAAAATCAAGACAAAATTCTTCACTAAAACAAAAGCTCAAAAAGTTTAAACAAATGAAGGGACTTTTGCTAGCTCTAAAAATACACAGTTCTAGGAAACTTCAATATATTTAACTTGGAATTATGTACTCGAGACCAACAGTGCAACTACAACTGGAACTGTTATTTGCCTTAAACTTGGAAATAAACTCTTCGCAAAAGTGAAGATTCAAATTAAGAAATACTCTATTCCCAACGTGAAAAATTATTCTAGAAGTTACAACCCCAGATTCAAAGAAAAATAACTGCCCATTTAGTTGCGAGAACAACAAGCACGGATGACAGAGGATTTACAAGATAACTTTTGAAAAATTTCGACAGCCATTCTAAGAGTATGCTGTTTTAAAAAAATTGGAAAGGAGAAAATGTTTACCAGTAAAAGCTAGACGGAATTCATCGCTGTCTGCCGCTAACTACAGTTCTGCAAGGCTACAATTCCGCGAGGTTCGCAAAAACTTTTTGTAACGAAATACGTAAAACCAGCCCATTAATAACTTTCCTGAAAAGATAAAAACCTTTTTTTGATTTTCTCAAAAACATTTCCATTCGCTCCTTCAATTAGCATTTCTTGATTCGACAATCAAAGAATCAACCAAAACTGCCATGAATCCTAAAAATGCCAGAGAAGAACTAAAAATAATAGTTCAACTAAAAGTTCTAACTGTCATCCCACACACGTACCCATTATACTTGTATGTGAACTGCTTTGCACTATCGTGAGACTCAAAAATCACAGAAACTGTTTCTGGCGAAGAAATCCATATTTTCTGAAAAAAAAGACTATGAATAACTCGATTAATTGGAAGCTAAGCTACTAATTAATCGAGAAAGTAATGATCGCAATATTTCTTAACACAACAATAATGAAGGAAAGAAATGACAATACAAAACGACAAATAACTAGTTGTAGGAAACAGTATTTCTAAAAGTTCAGGAATCACATATGAGGTTTGAAATACCTTTAGTGGTCCTACTGTAGATGCAATAAGTTTCATCCTTTCCAAATCGGGTGATTTCTTATTGCTAGTTCCTATCACCACAGCCAAATAGGGTTTCTTTCTCCCAGTTTTCTCCGAAGCACCAGTTAACAAGCGGCCTGAAGCAAACTGAGTGTTCTGCTGTGGATCCTTCGACTGATTCATCTGCATTCGCCGTTTATCCTGGTCAATCGCGCAGAATCTAATTTCACCATTTGAAGACTGCGCGCCAATCTCAGGGTTTTTTCGCTGACTTCCCTGGCCCAGCAACTTCCCTTCAGGACCAACACTAGATTTAAAAGGACTCCTCATGCCACCGCTCAAGTTGATATCTTTCAAATCATTCTTTTCTTCTGGTTTTAAAGGACCTTTTGCTCGTGCTCTCTGAAACCGTCTATCGCCTTTTTTCGAGTCACCGCTGTTTGAATGCTGCGTCCGTTCTACAGTGGTATCAACTCTTCTAATGGTGAAAGCGGCAGCATAGTTCTTCCCATCTTTCTCGTCATTCAAATTTTCATTTGTCCCCATTCTCTGCACGTTTTGAAAACGTCGTTCTTCCTTCTTTCGAAGTATCTCTTCTCTCATCTTCTTCTGTTCTTCCAGTTTCGATAGGTACTCGTTATCCAAACCAATGGCCTTAGCACATTCTATAGTTTTTTCCTAAATCAGAGGAAAGTCGGGACTGAACATCCACGATGCAACAAACCCATCTGTTTGAAAAAAAAACGAATAACAAAGAGCAAAGCAAAAATAATTATTAAAAAA